TAAATTGAAAGGTTATATTCCCTCCCCCCTCCCCTCTTCCCTTCCCCCATGTGTGTGTGTGTGTGTGTGTGTAAATATTAGTAAATTATTTCCTGAATGCTCAGCAATATTTTAAGTCTCTTCAACCTTGGACAATTTCTAGACCTTGACAATGGACAGGTTTGTTCTATTTAAGTTTCAACTAAAAATAGTGTTTGGAATGACTCTCAGAATATGGAATCCAGACTGGGCATAGTGGCTCATGCCTATAATCCCAGTACTTTGGGAGGCCAAGGCAGGAGGATTGCTTGAGCTCAGGAGTTTGAAACCACCCTGGGCAATGTAGCAAGATCTCATCTCTACACAAAAATAAATAAATTAGTTGGATATGGTGATAAGCACCTGTAGTCCCAACTACTCAAGAGGTTGAGGCAGGAGGATTGCCTGAGCCTTGGAAGTTGAGGCTGTAGTGAGCCATGATTGTGCCACTGTACCTCAGTCTGGGTGACAGAGTAAGACCTGGACTTAAAAAAAAAAAAAAGAATATGAAATCCTTCTTATTGCTATTGAAATTAGGATGCATAATATCAACTAAGCTTTTTTTCCTCTCATTGAAAATAATACTTTTCTAGTTACACTTTTACAATTACGATTTCTGTCTTAGTATACTTACTTACCTGTGGGTATAATATATATCTGCCCTTGTGAAGAAGAAAACAAAGAACCTGCTGAGAGTCCTAGATTTGCTGCCATATGAGAGCTCCCAGACTAACCAGTGAATGATCATGGTGCTTTATTGATTATAAACTTTTTCCTTCTTTGTAAATTAATAACCACAGCAGCCTTGTGAGGTAAGTATGTGATAGTTAAATGTAACATTAAGCAAAGGATTAGGAAACGGGGCCTAAGAGAGATTAAGTTGTCTGAAGTCCCACACCTCTTGAATTGTATATTTTCTGAGTCTATTACTTTTACAACATTTTGTTTGAATTATTATGAACAGTTAACTCTTACCTACAGATGCTCACTAACTTCCCACTTTCGTCATGTTTTATTTTCCTTTTTCCCTAAGTCATATAACATCCTGACTCTATGACTTATATCATGAAGATTGAAACAGTTGAAAGATTACTTATTTATATCCCACCCCCTCACAACCCTCCACTCCACTTCTTTTTTTTTTTTTTTT